TGTAATCAGTAGGTTGTCAGTTCAAGTCCGACAGCCGGCACTCTCGTCCATATAAGTAAAGTTGATGTCCTTTTTAATAGTAGCAAATTGGAAAATGAATGGAATGCGTTCTTCATTTGTTGACTTTATAGGCAAACTTAACAACAAGAGCAACGAAATTACCTCTAAATTAGTAATTTGCCCTCCTTTTACATCATTTCCAAGCAGTATAGAGTTGAACAATAATATTAATATAGGAGCACAGAATTGCCATCATAAAAAGTTCGGTTCTTACACAGGTGAAATTAGCGCAGAAATGTTAAAAGAACTAGGGTGTACTTACGTAATACTTGGGCATTCTGAAAGGGCCAATGAAAAAGATAGTGAAATAAAGCTTAAGTCGGAAATAGCAATAGAATCAGGCTTACACCCAATTATCTGTGTAGGTGAAAATTCAGAAGATTATAAGAATGAAAAAACAAAAGAAGTAATAGAATATCAATGCAAAAACCGCTTGCCAACACACGGTGAATATACCGTAGCATATGAGCCAATATGGGCAATAGGCACAGGTCATATGCCAAATAATGATGCAATTGCTGAGGTGATAGAGGTAATAAAATTGTGTACTGGTAAAAAACACATTATATATGGTGGTTCAGTCAGTTCAGAAAATATAGAAAATTTGTTAAATATTTCAAATTTATCAGGAGTTTTAATTGGCAGTGCAAGCTTAGATTTCGATCACTTTTATAAAATCATACAACAAGTTGAAAAAAAGTTTTCTCTTATCAATTCTAAAAGTAGATAAAAGGGAATTACTCACTATAGGAATAGGGCTATCACGGGCATCTCAGCAGATTCCGCTAACGCGTACTCCCTCGTCATAACGTCACGGTATCCGCTAACACGTAGCGAGATGACGGTTGTCAGAGTGACACTGGTTTCCATACAAAGGTGGTGTCATCTAAGTAGCTGACACTGATTTCCATCCAAGACGGTGTCATCCCAGTGCCCAGACTACTTGGATCCAGAAGACTTAATTTCAACCAAGTGGCTGCATAATAAAGGCTGGATTCCAGCGTCACGCGCTGGAATGACATCTTTCTTGGTGGACTCGAATCACAATGTTCGTACGGTTGTGGGCTTATAGCTAAAGTAATCTAGAAAATTAACGATATTTTATTCCCCGGTGAACGCTCTATTTTGTTTTCCAACTCTAGTTCTAAAAGAGCCATTAGGGCTATGTTGGTAGAAAGTCCGCTTGCTAATATAAGTTCATCTATATCAACAGGTACAGAGTTAATATGATCAACTATAACAGATTTTGCCTGTTGTAATTTTTCTTGTTTTTGGTTAACAGCATAGTGCTCAACATTAAATAGGTTTTTTTGCTGCGGAGGTAAACTAAACCTAATACTCTCTATTATGTCATCAGCGGATTCGATAAGCTTAGCACCGTTTTTAATTAAATAATTACTACCACTACAGCGTGAATCTAAAGGGAAACCAGAAACTGCAAACACCTCTCTCCCTTGATTTAAAGCAAAATCTGCTGTTATTAGAGAGCCAGAACGTTTCGATGCTTCAATCACTACAACACCCAGCGATAGACCAGATATAATTCGATTCCTTTGAGGAAAATACTGAGGCTTTGGTTTAGTAGCAAATGGAAGCTCAGTAATTACTAAACCACCGTTTCCAGTGATTTTTTTGTATAGATCAAAATTCTCTTTTGGATACACCACATCAATTCCGCTTGCTGTAACAGCAATAGTGGGATGATTTTTGTATATTACACTGTTTGCTGCGGTATCGATTCCTTTTGCAAGTCCAGAAACGATAACAAAACCAGCTTCGCTTAAATCAAGTGCTAGTTTACTGGCAAAATTTCTTCCATTCATCGAAGAGTTGCGCCACCGATTATTGCAATTATCTCACGGCTTAATAATGATATATTACCAAACGCAGTTATTATAGGAGGACAACTAGAGATATTTCTTAAAAGATCAGGGTAATCTGGGTCACATGCGGGTATAATTTTAGCTCCAATTCTTTCTGCATTATTGATTTCTTCTCGTGCATCTTGAATGCCATACACCTTATTATTAGCCACCCTATTGAGATATTTTAGCACCTCATCTAGCGATCCATGTGTTCTTAGTATACTAAAAAACTTTATTGGTCCTATAGTTCTAGCCAAGCTTAACCATACTTCTAATTCTTTGTTGTTCAATTTATTTATCTTCATAAAAGGCTTGAATTTCTTATCAATTTAGTGTACCCAAGATAATGCAAATATACAGTGTTTTATGACGCATTTTGTTACAGATAAATGCATAAAATGTAAATATACGGACTGCGTGGAAGTATGTCCCGTTGACTGCTTCTATGAAGGTAAAAACATGCTCGTGATTAACCCAGATGAATGTATTGATTGCGGAGTGTGCATACCTGAGTGTCCAGTAGATGCAATTGTAACTGATGATTCCATAAAAGATATTTTAGAATTAGATGAAGAATTACTGAGCAGCGAACAAAAAACTTTCAAGTTATTTTACGATATAAATGTAGAATACTCACAAAAATGGCCAAATATCACAGCTAAAAAGCAACCTCTCTATACTGCAGAAGAGTATAAGGAAAAAAAGGATAAAACAGCTTATTTTGATGAAAATTTAGAATAATATTAACAAAGAAAAAGATCAGACTCCTTGCATAACCATATAAAAACTAGCAACTCACTCTTCTTTGTCATTCCAGCGCGTGACGCACAATCGTACAAACATTGCAATTTGCAGGTGGCAGATGGTGTCATGCAAGTAGCTGACACTGGTTTCCATCCAAAAGGGCAGTGCCTCTATGATGTCATCCGAGTAGCTGACACTGGTTCCTTTATGACGGTGTCATCCCAGTCTGGGATCCAGGAATTTTATTAAGTTGGTAAGCATAAAAGTAGCCGTTTTATGTTAAAATACAACGTTTTGATGATTATGAAAAAGCTGGATTCCAGACTGGAATGACACCACCTGCAAATTGCAATGTCTGTACAGTTGTGCATAGGATAGAGCTATAGAATTTTTCAAAGCGTTTTTTCTATTGAAGATAAGAGCATCTTTTATATATGCTATATAGTAAAACATAGAATGCTCATGATTCCAACTATAGCAATTTTAAGTGGTGGATTTTCTTGTGAGAGAGAAGTGTCGCTTATGAGTGGAAAAGCCGTAAAGAAGGCACTTGATAGCCTTTCATATAATACAATAGAAATGGATGTTGACAGCAACATTGTTGAAAAGCTTAAAAAGATTAACCCGGGCCTTGCTTTTATAGCTCTGCATGGACCTTATGGTGAAGATGGCTGCATTCAAGGTTTATTGGAGATTTTAGGTATAAAATATACACACTCAGGAGTTATCGCTTCGGCTGTTGCTATGAATAAAGTGATGTCAAAGCATATATTTCGATCCCTTAGTATCGACACTCCAAAAGGTTATGTAATTAGCCGAGAAGATCTACTAAAAAATAATATTAAAATCGATTATCCGTACGTCTTAAAACCAATTAATGAAGGTTCTAGCATCGGAGTGCATATTGTTTCCTCACATGAGGATTATTTAAAACTGAAATTTGATGTCATTCCAGCGCGTGACCAGGCAGTATCTGGCTACTTGGATGACAAGGAAGGAGCTACTTCTGTGACAAAAGATTTGATGATCATAGAAGAATACATTCCAGGTGTAGAGTTACATACTGCTGTATTGCTGGATGAAGCAATTGGTTACTACTTTACTTGGTGTAATGACTGCCTATCTAGTTTATTACTCAGTAGTGGATTTTCAATCGACGAAGTAGTCGTGAGCGGCAACAAATTTACAAACAAAAAGGACATTCTAAGTTTGGTAGATAGAACGCAACCTATCCTTTATATATCACTTTCAAAACTTGCCGGTAACATACAATCCGTAAGCAGATGGATAAAATACGTAAGAGTTCACAGAATTTTGCCCAATACCCTACATATTAATATAGATGAGCATAAACCGTTTGCTCTCTGGAAAGATAATAACAAAACCTCGGTAATTGATTTCGAAGGCAAAGTGATCGTAGATGACTATCCAGTAGATGATCTTGTTGTGATTACAGGACAAAACTCGTTATCAAACCTAGAATTTGTTAGAGATGTGTTAGAGAGTAAAACTCAATTAAGTGACCACATTTCTTCTTTTGCTTATATAGGGAATAGAAGATGGAATATCATACTTGATAACGATTCCACAGTGAAACTGCCTGAAGATAACCCTTCTAGTGCATGGGACTATTTAAACCACTTACACAATACAACTGATTTTACTTTCAGCGATTGGAGTATTATTGATATGCGTATTACTGATAAAATTTTTGTGAAGAGGTGATCTGCTGTCATCCAAGTAGCGGGATGACGAGCTTATCGTCATGCTGCCGCGAACCGTCATACCGTCACGGTATCTCAGCCGCTAACAAGTAGCGGGATGACGGTTGTCGTTTAGCCATAAATATTTAAGAAATTCACCAAACGAAAAAAAAGGCAAAAGAAGCCCTGGTCATTGTCTATTTTCAGTATTTGGCGTTTTTTAAGCCTTAAACGCTGCAATTTAGCTGCTTTTAAGTGCAACTAACCTTAGCTAAAATGTTTAAGAAATTTACTAAGCAGAAAAAAAGGCAAAAGAAATCCCGTGTTAGCTAATTGTCACTCTCTAATCCTGCAAATTGGCGTACTATACTGTCTTAAACGACTTATAAGCGCGTTTCAGCTTATGTAGGTAAAAACCCAGAAATGTTGTGAAGACATAAGGTGCACATAGTGCAAAAAATTAAAAATAAGACGCCAACTACGTTGTTTTCTTGCTGTTTAATCTGCACAGATGAAGATAACTGAATACCTTCAGTTTCATAATAAGGGGGCTGGCGAAACTTGTCAAGCAAGTTTTTTCTTCAACAAAAATCCAATTTCCTTTTAGGCTATGTCCACGGTAAAAATACCCCATTTCTTCGCTGGAGAATTCATATAGGTTTCCATCCTCTAGATTCACTGCCTTTATGGATTGTACAATACTTGCGATATCACTACCATATGCACCTGCATTCATTTCTATTCCGCCACCAACTGTTCCTGGAATTCCAACTAGAAACTCGAGTCCACTAATTTGTTGCTCTCCTGCAAAGTAAGCAAGGTTCCTGAGCAGCGCAGCACCACCTGCAACAATGGAGTTGTTACCCTTACTTTTAATATATGCAAACTCCTTACCTAATTTTACTGTTATTCCTCGAATGCCACTATCTCGTACTATTATGTTGGATGTTGCACCAATAACGCTAACTGGCAGTTCAGTATTTTTAATCAAGTATGTTAAATCTTCAATATCACATGGTTTAAATAACACATCAGCTCGTCCACCGACGTTTAACCACGTCGCTTTAGACATTAAGATGTCATAACGATAGACTCCACGTACTTTAGGTAAGCTTATAAGCATTTTGATTTCAACTCTAGTCCTGCATCCATACCCATTTTCTCCGCATCTTCTATAAATGAAGTGCGCTCAGTGAAGTATATATTTTTTCCACTTGCTAACATACAACAAAGGTATAGCATATTTTCGTTCACATATTCAGCCAAAGCTGCAAGTGGTGTAAAACATGAACCATTCACTGTCTTCATAAAACTGCGCTCTGATTTCACTCTTATAAAAGACATATTATTATTAATTTTCTCTACAAGATCGATAATTTTTACATCATTCCTTCTACATTGAATACAAATCGCTCCCTGTCCCACTGCACTTAACATAACTTTTGGTGGCAATACCTCTGTAATTAAGTGATTCTTTTCTAATCTTATGAGTCCTGCTTCAGCTAGAATTATTCCATCAAAACTTTGATTTTGCAATCTAGTTGTTACATTTCCACGTAGCGATATTATATTTAGATCTGGTCTAACATTTAACAACTGAACTTTTCTTCTTATTGAAGAAGTGGCAATAGTAGCCTGCTGTGGCAAAGACTCAAGGCTATTGTGTTTATGAGAAATAAACGCATCGCATGGACTTAGCCTTTCTAAAACACAAGGAATTGTTAAATCCCCTGAGAAAAACGCAGGCACATCCTTTAGCGAATGAACTGCCATATCTATATTATTTTCGAGCAATTCAGCCTCAATTTCTTTAATGAATAATCCTTTACCTCCTATTTCAGCAAGATTTGCGTTTGCGTACTTATCTCCAGAAGTTTTTATCTTAACAATTTCAATAGATAAGTTAGGAAAAGAGTCCAGCAACTTTTGTTTTGCTTCCAAAGCCTGGGCAACTGCAAGCTTACTTCCTCTGGTACCTATTTTGACTAGCATATGTATGACTGTTTGAATACCAAACCTTAACCTAATTAATTATTTAAACACTTTGGTAGCGTGTATCGCATGAACTTCGGTTACCATCTCTCTGATGTCATCCGAGTAGCTGACTACTTGGATCCAGTTTAATTCATCATATGAGCCTTTGCATTTATTGTACTTTAACTTAAAACCAAAAGCAACTTTGCCTTTACAAAATAATAACCTTTTATATGTATAAATAAGCTTACTGGATTCTAGTACTTGCATGACAGCAGTCCTACGTCATACCGCCGCGGTATCTCATTCGCTAACACGTAGCGGGATGACGATTATTGGTGAACCTAAGTTACTTTAGCTACAAACGTTAAGAAATTTACCAAATGAAAAAAAAGGCAAAAGAAGCCCCGTGGTTGGCTAATTACTTACATTATACTTTCAAGTATGGCGTTTTTTTATTCTAAACGCTTAATAACCGCGATTTAGCTGCTTTTTAATGCAACTAACCTTTAGTCATAAATGTTTAAGAAATTTACTAAACAGAAAAAAAGGCAAAAGAAACCCTAGGGTAGCTAATTATTCACTATCCATTTTTTAAGTTGGCGTTTTTTAATGTTTTAAATGCTTTATAAGCGTATTTCAGCTTGTATAGGTAAAAACCTAGAAATTTGATAAAGACATAAGGTTCACATAGTGCAAAAAATTAAACATAAGACGCCAGATACGTGAGTTTTTTTGTCATTTAATCTGTACAGAGAAGATAAATAAATAGCTTCACTATCATGATAAGGGGGCTGGCGAAACTTGTCAAGGAAGTTTTTCGTTTCTATAGCTACTTGGATGACACCATAGGTTATTTAGGCAACAGAGAATTTTACAAAAATCTATTTTTAACTTACACTGCAATTTTAAACCTACAACTTATGTACAACAGGCTTATAGTCAAATCTTTTTCAGTGTTATGCATCTGTTTACTTGCTTTATACATAACACTGCCAAATTTCTTTGATAATAAGCTTTTTATTTCGAAAAAAAGAATAAACTTAGGCCTTGACCTGAAAGGAGGGGCATCTTTGCTTTTAAACATAGACTTAGACTTCTATTTTAAGGAAAAGCTAAGCATGCTAGCAGGTGAGATAAAAGAGACATTGCTAACAAAAAATATTGAATCTAACGTACAAAATAGCGAACAAGTAATTGTAACTTTAAATAATATTGATGATTATAAAAAAGCATCTGTGTTGATTAATGCGATAAATCCAAATTTAGAGCTAAATAGAAAAGATTCTTCAATTCTTATTTCGTATAAACCCCATTATAAAAATTCTTTGATCAGTGAAGTAGCTGCAGAATCAATAAACAATGTCCAGCGCCGTTTGGACAAGCTTGGCACAAAGGAAGTCAGCGTTCAAAAACAAGGACAGAATAAAATATTAGTGCAGGTGCCTGGAGTAGAAGACACCAAGCAGATAAAATCTCTGCTTGGCAAAACTGCTAAACTAACTTTTCATTTGGCAAACACTAACATAGCCAAGGTGCAGGATATAGATCACGAAACTACTGTCATGCTCAAGGACTCTTTAGGCAATTCTTATCCGATATTTCGCAAAACTGAAATAGGTGGCGATTCGCTGGTTAACGCATCAGTTAGATTCGGCAATTTAGGTAAACCGACAGTGCATTTTAAATTTGACAGCATAGCGAGTAAAAGATTCGCGAAAATCACTAAAGAAAATGTGGAAAAACCTTTTGCAATTGTTCTGGATAACACAGTCTTAACAGTACCTACAATACGTGAGCCAATTTTAAATGGAGAGGGAGAAATTAGCGGTAATTTCACTGAAAAACAAGCAAGCGAACTTGCAATACTTTTAAAATCTGGAGCACTGCCAGCACCACTTAAAATAATTGAAGAAAAAAACATTGGCCCAAGCCTTGGAGAAGAATCAATAAAGGCAGGGGAAATGGCAGCAACAATCTCTATTATAGCCGTGGCTTTATTTATAATTATCACTTACGGCAAATTAGGTATATTAGCTTCTGTTGCGCTTTTTTCTAATGTAATTCTTATATTATCAATTCTCACTCTGCTTGAAGCAACTCTAACTTTACCTGGAATTGCAGGTATTGCACTCACTGTCGGTATGGCGGTGGATGCAAATGTTTTAATATTTGAGCGAATTCGCGAGGAAATCAAATCTGGCAAGAGAGTGGAACGTGCTATTGAAGAAGGGTTTAAAAACGCTATAAAGACAATACTGGATTCAAATATCACTACATTAATTGCTGCAGGAATAATGTTCATTATTGGCAGTGGAGCAATAAGAGGTTTTTCCGTTACTTTATCAATAGGAATCTTATGCTCGATGTTTTCTGCAATTACAGTCACAAAACTCCTGATAGAGTTGTGTATGAACCCGAAGAAACTAGCGCTTTGTTAGTCAACCACCTTCATTCCCACAACGTTATATCCTGAATCGACGTGCAAAATTTCTCCAGTAGTGCCACTGCTTAAGTCGCTTAATAAGTATAGCGCTGCCTTGCCAACATCTTCTATTGTGACGTTGCGTCTAAGCGGAGAATTATTTCTATTCCATTCTGATATGAAGTGAAAATCGCTTATTCCAGAAGATGCTAAAGTTCTGATTGGACCAGCGGAAATGGCATTTACTCTGATATTTTGTGGTCCAAGATCACATGCTATATATTTTACACTTGCTTCAAGTGCTGCTTTACATAAACCCATAACGTTATAATTTGGCATAACTTTTTCAGCGCCATAATAAGATAAAGTAAGTAAACTACCACCACCTGACATCATTTTTTCAGCTCTTTGCGCTAAAGCAGTGAAAGAATAGCACGATATATGCATTGCATTGAGAAAGTTGTTCAGTGAAGTATCGACATATTTACCATTTAACTCATTTTTATCGGAGAATGCTATTGCATGTACCAAAAAGTCAAGAGTACCCCATTTTTTCTCTATTATTTCAAAAGCGTTATCTACGATTTTTTCATTTGAAACGTCACAGTGTAATATTAGCTCCACATTTAATTCATCTGCTATTGGTGATAGTTTTTCTTTTATTATTTCATTCTGGTAGGTGATTGCAAGTTCTGCCCCGTGCTCTGAGAGAGCTTTTGCTATACCGTATGCTATTGATCTCTTATTTATTATTCCAGTTATTAACCCCTTTTTGCCTTGTAATAGACTTGTCATCATAGAACTATCTGTTTTTTTATAATTTGGAGTATTAACTAGATAAAGTCAATTATGTTTTAAAACATTTTTTGCAGTAACTTGAAGTCTAATACCACTGTTAACAAAAAGGCAGCGATGAGAGTTTCTAGCAGTCATCTATAACAGTTTCTTAGATTGCTTCTTATTAAAAAAAACAAAGCTTTGTTAATTAAATATTATAGTTAATAATTACACTCTTTTGACAAATAATTAAAATAGTGTTAAACTGCGTGCATAAAATAATTAGTGAGGTTGCAATGTTAAGCAGTATTATAAAAGTAAAATTAGAGAAAAACTGTTGTCCTTTTGAGAAATTAGAAAACTTCTTTGCTAAAAGGGTATTTCATATAGATGATCAAAAAGGATTCAAAGATTCTTCAGTAAAGTTAGTTATCGAGTATCCCTACGATTCAACTTTAACTTTAACTCTACCAAGAGAAGCAATACCTAATTCTTTCGCTTTAGAGCTTTTGTCTTCACTTTATAAAGAAAATGCGCTAGCTTTACCTGTTATATTAAAATATCTTGCTCATAGGGATTTATCCAAAGATTTTGGTGAGATCAGTAAAAAATTACAGGCCAAAATGGATCAAGATATACAAGAAGCGCAGCTACAACACAATTCTGAAATTTCTAAAGAAATTGAGTTATGCAAAAAAGATATTTTAAATGTTCTGGATGGTGGTAAATCAGTATTGAGTGTTCAATTGAAGCAAAAATACTATTCTATACTAGAAAATGAGGTTGCAAAATTAAAGGCTGAGATTTCAAAAGAACTAGAAGACTATACTAACAACACTAACATTCACGAAATATATCAAAGCCTTAACAGTAAAATAAAGAAAATAAAGCATTATAATAAAATAGTAGATCATGCACTTTATACTTCTGGTTTTGTCGCAATGCCTTTATCGATTGCTCCATTGATAGCATTTTTGGTTGTTGCAACGTTAGCACTTGTAATAGCAGGTGTAGCTTACTTAGCAAGTTGTGTTCTAAAGCATAGTTTTGCAAAAGAAATGCAAGACTATATAGAACAACCAATAAAATGCATGAATAAGGCAACTAATAATGAAGATGTGAAGAAATTAGAACAAGAAGAAACAGAAGTAGGCGATTATGGTAAAAAACCTTCGGCACCACCATACGATGGACCTAAGCAGCCAAGATTGTACCCAAATCTTTCAGAAGTACAACCACCACCATACGAAGAAGTTTGCCGCACTATCCTGCAACCGAAAGATTCACAACCAAGCAGTAATCTTGATTCTGCTGAGCCTGAGCAGCCAAAACTAGTTATGGATCTTTTAGAAAGTCTTCCAGAACAACTAAACGCAAAATTGGGTCCTGTTCTACGTCCATCTAATACAGCAAGAGGTGTAATTTAGGGCTAGAGGTTATGATTGTAATAAAGATATAAAAAAACGGACAAGTCAAGTAAAGTTACAAATGTAATTTTGCTTGACTATCCATTTATCACCACCTAAAGCAGCTAACAAAGCCATCTCATATGACATTTTGTCTATACCTAATTAAGCATATCAATAAGTAAGTAAATTTTAATATAATCTTATTATACTTATAAATATGCTGTATATAGCTAACCTAAGTAAGGTTTCCCCGAGTGCTAAAATCAATAGCCGAATTGATATCGGGCCAAAAGCTTGGCAGCGCTTTTTTTTTGTGGCATGCTTGATGGCAAACCAGAACTTCTCAATTGGATTTAAATCAGGCGAGTATGGCGGCAAAAATAAAACTTTACATCCAACACTTTCTATTAATTTTCTCGTTCTTTCAGACTGACCTTACCCAGAAAAAGTGGAGAGAAAGTTAAGACGTTTTTGTCATGAGAATGATGCATCAAATTGTGCAGGAATGTATAGTATGTATAAAAATTTATTAATAATAATGATTGTATTTTTAAATTTTCACTACAAGACTTGTTTGTATGTTATATAAAGTGACCACGAAAATTTCTACAAAGCATTTTAACAGTATTAAAAAAATCAGAGGAAGGTGAAGCAGACGCAACAGCTTAAGCGGAAAGATTGAAAAATAATTGATGCTTTAAGTGAGTAACACGCACCTTAGTGCGTGTCACGAAGTATGAGGACGCTAACGATCTGGTTCATTAGACGATAATTTTTCTGAGTCCTTAAGCTCCTGTTTAAGGTTTTTGATGCCTTTTCCTAAATCACCCATAACTTGCGGTAATCTGCCTGCACCAAACAGAACTAAAATTATTATTAAGACTAGAAACAATTGCCATGGTCCTAAACTCATTTTCACCTCCATTTAAAATATTGACCTTTAAATATTAGAACTTGACTGAAGTCAAGTAACACATAGATTATATCACCTTTATTTAATTATAAATCAAGGTTTTTTAATTATTTTATAACAATTCCAAACTAGATTGTTTTCTTGCAGCGAATAAGTGGAAACTTTTCGCTTAACTATAGAGTAGAGGAGAGCTCACTAAAAAACTTTGCTAGCGTATCATCTTTAGGCCTATGGTATATATCGCTAGAAACCCCTGATTGAATAATTTTACCATTTTTCATTACGTATATAAAATCTGCAACTTTCAATGCTTCTTGCGGGTCATGAGTTACCATTAGCACAGGGATATTTTTACTTCTAAAAAGGGACAATATATGTTGTCTTATTCGGCACTTGAGCAGTATATCTAAATTAGAAAATGGTTAACACAACAACACAACATCAGGGTTTTGTGCCATCACTCTTGCTATTGCAACTAATTGTTGCTGTCCTCCAGATAAGGCGTTAGGGTACATATTTTCATATTTTTCTATATTGAGTAACTTCAAGATTTCCAATGCAATTAGGTGCTTTTCTCTCTTGGAAGAGCTGCGGATAGCAAAGGTTATATTTTCTACTACTGTTTTGTGAGGAAATAATGCAGAATGCTGAAAAATCAATCCGATATTTCTATGCTCTATAGCGACTGATGCCTTATTGCTTGCAACTAACCTATCATTTATAAAAATAGTTCCAGATTTTGGATTTTCTATCCCTGCAATTAATTTCAAAATTGTTGACTTGCCACAGCCAGAATGCCCCAATAAACATGCAACACTTCCTTTTTTTACTTTAATGTTTATATTGCTTAAAGCAAAGTCGTCTTGATTGTTATAGAAATAACCAATGTTGTTAACTAGCATTAATCTTACTTAAACCATGTTATTAAATATAATAGCATTATACTCAAGAAGTACAGAAATGTTTCTTGTCGTCATAAATTGGTTATGCAAGAAATCTAGAAAAGAGAAGGATTTTTTGCTATAACTTTACATAAATGGTAGGAAACACGGGACTATAGCTCAGCAGGATAGAGCGTTGGACTCCTAATCCGAAGGTCGTGCGTTCGAATCGCACTAGTCCCACCACATTGCTTCACAAATTTCATGGAGATTTTTTTTCACAAATACACACACCTATTCCAGTGTCAAGCACTGGAATGACAAGTTCTTGGCAACCCCTACGTCATACCGCGATTCATTCGTGGTATCTCTTAGCATAGATCCCGCTAACACGTAGCGGGATACTTGACCTTTACAGGGATGACGGTTGTCGTTTAGTTATAAATATTTAAGAAATTTACCAAATAAAAAAAAGGCAAAAGAAGCCCCGAGTAGCGAGTTTGGACTCTATATTACTGTAAGTGGCGCTGTAATAAATATATGTATATATATTATATCGCGACCATGTGACTGGAAAATACCATTTCGTTGCTAAAACATCATTTACGTTTACGTTCTACGCACAAATAAAACGCGTCTACATTTTTTTACTCTTATTATTATATTAAATTCTTACGCCAGCAAATTGCTTCAAGGAAAGATCCATGATCTTTCCGACCGTGAGCGTCAAGTGCTTCTGCGATCTTAAGATTATGAGAAGTATATCTCGATTCTGATTCGGATTTAATTCGTACCAAAACGATTCGTACGCCGCGTCGCCGATCATTTGGCTCTAAAATATTATATTAAATTTTTCTCACATATAACACAGCATACATCATATTCGATATGTTCGTTAACTAGTATACCGACTTTCGTGCTGAGATGTTCTCCGACGAAACAAAGTATAAATGCCTCCAAGCTGATAAGAATGTAAAATAACACTGATTTCATTAACACCGCCGAACCGCCCGGGACACCGATAGACTGAAATTTTCAAAAATGCTTTGCTTTCCGAAAAGATTATGTCACCTCGTTGTACTTACGATCACAATGATAAATCCTAGGCAGCAAATAACCAGAGTATTCGATACGAATTGTACCAGCGCGATATTCGAGAAAAGTGCCTCGATGTTCTTGGAGAACAAGATGATTCTCTGATGTCGGACGATCAATGTTTTTACAATGCTGTCACTCGCATTTTGCTCGATATCTGTCCGCCTGATTTTACTCAATTTTTCTCTCACTATGTCAATTTGCCCACCCACGTGAAGAACCTAAATGTCATGAAATGCATGTCAATTCATTTTAACATATATGTATAACGAAAACTGACATTATTTTTAATTATTACCTATTATTTATTAATAAATTTCTAAAATGGTTTCTTAAGCTCCCAATTTTCTTTTTAACTGCGTTGCACTAATATTTTTTAATAATTTTTGGAAACACTGACATTTTTACGAGAGAATGCACTTACCAGTGTTATCAACAAGGAGTTCAAGACACCAGACATACTAGCCGCACTGGTCTGATGAACAAACTGTGTAACGAGAACAGCCACATATACCGATGAGCTCTCGATCGCGAATGGTAAACGATAAGAGATGTAGGCCATTCTGGTCATCGTGTAATTATCTGAAACTTCACGCTCCTTCCAATCGTCGACCATGATCGTTATAATTTCGTCCAGCAGACTATAACGGATTACTTGAAGTAATATTGATCGATAAAGCTAATGCGAAGCATTGTTGAAATTGAGATAAATCAAAAAAATGCAGAGCGTAAAAGTTATGTAAAAATTTTAAATTGTATTTTGCGTTTTGCCATTTCGAATCTAGGATGTATGCAATCCGGCGTGTGCTTGTATCGCGTTCTGGACTTAATTCTGTGCTTAGTATACATCCAAATGAAGAGAGCTTACCGCGCGTTGAACGCAAAAATAATGAGCTTGACAAACAGAAGGCTATAAGTAAGCGTAGCGCTTAGTACGTCCATGAGGAGCGGTAGATTCTCTTCACCGAAATGCACTATTAAATGCTGATACTGAAAGATCTGAAACATCGCCATCGAGAATATACAGAGGAATCGCCGTAAAATTGCGTACGACGTGCCCGGCCATACGCCGATTGCGCGCAGACCGAACTCCACGGAGTGACACACGGCACTCATCGACTTTATCTCGTTCTTCATTAAGTCAGTCGAATAAAAGCCAGCTTTACAACAATATAATAGCACGTGATTTATCATTAAGTTTAGTTTATTCCGCTTTCCTCTTTGTCTAAATATTATAGATAACACTACAGTCTACAAAAGAGACATGATTGCGTATATATTTCTGTATTTATACACATATATAAATTGTAATTTTATTTCAAGAATCCAGAATTTAATTTTAAAACTTTTAACTTTTTGCACTTTTACGATTGCACTCAGTTGCCTGAATTGCCACTGGATTCGAATTATTACGAGTACAAAGGGTTTTGTAAAATGAAGACTGTCTCTATCCAAGTTTGAACGTCGTTGCTCGTATCTTTTTTTTAGAAGGCGACGAGAGAAACTATTAATGTATTAATTAATATTTGTGATTAAATCGAGTTTTTGCTTAAATGCTGTTACTTTAGCGTTTATCGAGTTTGGTAAAATACATCGATGGAGAAGATCAATATCTTGCAATTATAATTTTGTTCCTACGCATTGCGATAATTATCGCGAATCGATACTCTTCAAACGATATACTTGCTGCTCCTTTGCAAGCGTACATTTAATGTGAAATTCTGTTTCCGAATAGGAAAATTATTAATCGTGTAAACGACTGGGACTAATAACAGTGTATCCCTCTGCACGAGAAGAAACATAAGCGGCATACACGAAGCACACGTTCGAGCTTTCAATACATCGCGTGCAACACCGACACATACGACGCCGAAGCTTTTACAATCTGCAACATGATAGAAGCAATTACGGCCGTCGTGAAACAGAACGATCATCAAAATGTCATTTATGATAGCGTTCTACATGTGTGTGAATTTTTCTAGTCACTTTCATTACACTTTGCTAATTTCTTACGTCGGCAAATTGCTTGAGAGAAAGATCCGCGACTTTTCCGATCGTGAGCTTCAAGTGCTTCTGCGATCTTAGTATCATGAGGAGGACATCTCGATTCTGACTTGGATTCAATTCATACCAGTTTGATTCGTACATCGCATCTCCGATCATTTCGCTCTGAAACGCATGATAAATTTTTGTCGCGAGGACAGCATTGCAATATTTGCATTACAGTATGGTTTATACTGACTTTCATACTAAGATGTTCTCCGACGAAACAATATATAAATGCTTCCAAGCTCATAACGATATAAAAGAACACGGATTTTACCAGCATCATCGAGCCGCCAGGTACACCGATCGACTGTAATTTTCGAATGCTTTGTGTCTCCCGAGAAAGTTGCGTTACTTTATTGTACTCACGATCACGATGAGAAATCCCAGGCAACAGATAACCAAAGTATTCGACACGAATTGTATTAGCGCGATGTTCGAGAAAAGGACCTCGATGTTCTTGGAGAACGCGATGATCCTCTGATGGCGGACAATTAATGTTTTCATGATGCCTTCTGTGACGCTCTTTCGCGTAATTTCACTGAATTTCTGCCGCACTATATCGATCTGTCCACACGCGTGAAGAACCTGCACGTCAGCGATACGTGTTATCAGTTAATTTAATTTAATTAAAATTGCATTATAAATGTTTTCTTGTCATCTTAATTTTTAGTATAATTTTACTTTTAATATTATATAATTAATATTTAATTCTAATTATATATAATTAATTATTGATTTCATGTCTGTTATTTGCTCGGATATATTTGAAATGATTTAAAATAGTATATAAATTTTCCTCTTCTACACCTCGTATCTAGTAATATTTTTGCAGTTTTTTAAAAATATTGGCACATAATGATAAAACAATTACACTTACCAATGTTATCAGAAAGGAATTCAGCACGCCCACCATAGCAGCCGCGCTCGATTGATGAAGGAACTGCGTAATGAGAACAGTCACATATATTGGCGTACTCTCAACCTCGAAGGGTAACTCCATCTTAACGATAAGTTCTCGAGCGTCGGTTTCATTGTCGCCCTTCTGCTTAAGAAGCGCACCGGTGGCATAAAAAAACACCGATATCGTGTGCGAGAAGATTATTACGTTGGAAAAGCGACGAGAAATATAAGCCATCCTGATCATCGTATACCTGTCCAAAATGTCGCATTCCTCCCAATCCTTGACCATGCGTCCTATGATATCGTTCAGCAGACTATAACGGATTATTTAGAGAGATACTGATCGACATGGTTGTGCATCAAGGGTAAATTTTACTCGAGTAAAGATTGGGTTTCTTTTTTTTGTAAGATTTGCATTTGAAAGTGGAGGATCCGGTATGTGCTCATTTTGTCGGATTTAAGTTTGTGCTCACATCAGTGTGTATCGCGACAGAAGAGCTTACCGAGCGTTGAGCGCGAAAATAATCATTTTGATAAGCAGGAGAGTGTAAGCAAAAGTTACGCTTAGAGCGTCCATGAGGAGCGCAAGGTCCTCTTGCCCAAAGTGCACGATCGCGTACCGATATTGAAATGTCTGAAACACCACCATCGACGATATGCTGAAGACTTCGAATAAGATTGCGTACGATGTACCCGGCCATACACCGATCGCGCGAAGACCATATTCCACGGAACGACTCACAGTAGTCATCAATTCCATCTCGTTCTTTATTGAATTCAAATAAATCAGTTTTATACAATTTTTTTTTCTCCTTCAGTATCATCAATCGTGATTTGTAACTGATTCTGATTAAGATTTCTAGTTTCTTTTCTTTCTACATTATTGATATATAGAAAAAAAAACATTAATTTGCAAACAGGATTATTTAATCCAACTGATAAATCGATGTTTCGGTTCAATTTTCCCGATTTTTCGGTATTTTCCGGAAACTACGACACGCGCTAACGAAACGTTAGATTTCGCAGCGTCATGGATTAGAAAGGACACATCAAAAAATACAGCATGATCGATATTCCTGCTTCGGTCCACAATCGAGAGGTCTCAGTGAAACTGTAAAATTCTACGAACTCAGCGCTCGAGTAATTCGACCCCCACTTTGGCCACTATCAGCCACGTTAGTTATTCATCGCGTATTTCCATCGTATTTCTTACGATGTCTTAAAAATCATGAGCAAAAATTATAAACCGATGTCTCAATAATTGTCGCAATTACGCGCATAAAAAAAGAGGCAGATACGAGGGCACCCTCGTGTACGCATCGCTCGGTGCTCGTTATTTGCATTAAAAATGCAAGGCAAATGTACGTGCACCAAATGCACGGCAGTAAAATGCGACGGGGATTGTAAAGCATAAATTCATAAGGTAAAATCGAAAGCGCGGGGGATGAGAGTTTCTGGGAGGGGAAATCCCTAGAAGAGCCGCGCACAAAGACATCTATCTATAAAAAGTACGACGCAATTGTCAATTCTGTTAAGATATATTGATGCAGTTTTTACATGTGAGATCATATCTTATATATTCTTGGAACGGCGTTCCAAGAACGATGTATATACGTACGAAATATATACATACAATTGCTAGAATCGCGACAGAATCGTTGCGTTTCGCTGGTAATAGCTACAAAGATACACAGAGGGGGTATTGCCTCTCTTCTATTATTCGCTATATCTTTAAGACATAGCATGCAGCACGGAGACATAAGACGCTGATGCTTTAATAATCTAGAAGAAACAAAAAATAGAGACTTGTGCTTTATGCGAGTCTAATTCTTTGCGAAAAAGCAAAAAATCTAATATAAAAGTTTGACAAAACCAGAAGAAATTGGAATTGTGTTTCTTATATGTATACTTGAAATATATCTTTTCTATCGATGATTTATGAATTGAATTAATGGAAGACAGATTAACGCAACATGTATTTCTTCTCAAAGTAAGTGCAAATTTTATATTGTCAGATACACAGTAAAGAAAAACGTAATTCTCCAAATGCATCTTACTGTCGTGAAACGTTCTAAGGAGAGATCCATAAATTTTCCGATTGTAATAGTCAATTTTCTCTGCGATCTCAAAATCAATAATAATAATATACGACTTTGCGTGGGACACGAATTGTACCATTTCGCCTCGTACGCTGCATCGCCGATCATTCTACTCTGCAACGATTATTAAGTTCAATTAAGAATTATAAGAGAATTACAGAGATAAATATAGCGCTAAGCCTTCAAAAAGTTATTAAAATTATTTGAATTATTGCTTCACATGATGTATCTGCATTGAAAAGTTTTTATGCAAAATATTCTCTAGATATAGATAATTTTATCGAAGAAGTACTATAAAGAGAAGTTATATTGATACAAAAAGTTGTAGCAAAACTTGCAAGTGACTGTATTCTGACCTTGGCGCTGAGATATTCCCCAGCGTAACAAAAAATGAACGCCTCCAAAGTGATGACAACGTAAAAAAAGAGAGATTTGATCAGCATCGTCGAGTCTTGCGTGTCGCCTATCGACTGTAACGTGGTCGAAAATAATGCATGTCAAACGTTTTCAATAGCGGACGAAATGAGAGTACTTTAAAACCCAGGTATAGAGTGCCATCAGTTATTTTGGATACTCGAGTGTCGAGTATTTTGACGTTTTATTGCATATCGAGGAGTCGTCAGTATCAAATATAGAAACGTTCGATGTATGTAGAACGGCAATTTAATATTATTTCCATTGCCTCGCGCATTCCACAAAGCAATTACTCACCGTTACAATTAAAAATCCGAGGCAACAAATGACCAAGGTGTTCCACAGAAATTGCATCAGGGCTATATATGAGAAGAGAGTCTCAATATCGGCCGACAGAGCGATAATTCTCTGATGTCGACGTATTAACGCCTTGACGGTCGTGGTTCGCAAGTCGAACGCGTCATCGTCTGAGGAGATTTCTACCAACCCTCGGCACATTATATCGATTTGACCACCTACGTGAAGAATCTAAAAATAGCGGTCAACGCCCTGCAATGTATTCTCGATATCGTGACTCAACGCAAAGAACAACTTTACGAGTACAAAAGTTTATCAATGCAAAAGAGACGATAATATAAATTAATAAGAGAGATTTGTATGTGAAATATCTCTCTCATAGAATTAAATTTCTATAATTAATATAATTATAATTAGTAATGAGCAGAAGAAAAAAGAATATATATATGTAATATGTTATAGAATTATAAATTTTCATTATAAAAGAGGGTAAAAAGCAGAAATGCAGAGAAGTTCATATTGAATTTATCGATTAGACTCACTAGCGTTTTTCATTATCCATAAATGAAGTAAATGAAGTAAGTTATTAATCGCGTGGATAATATGGGATATTCATTATTTCGAACAATGCGGCGCAACAAGCGAGAATATTTGATTGATTTATTTTATTATTCTATTTTATTATTAAACTTTTTATATAAATTATTCATCTCTATCGCTCGGTATAATTACGCGATGTACATAACGTAATACATATTAATTCAATCACGGATAATTTAGAAATTAGACTCCAATCTGTCTCTGGATTTTAAATAAAGTATAAAATAAATAATTTCTTTTTTTACTTCTTTTCTTCCGAACAAATTGTTATTACTCGAAAAAAGTCATTAACCATAAAAAATTTGCACATAAAAGTGGAAAGATAGATTTATATTTTCGTGTTTTTTCAGATTTATGATGATTTAGAGCATTTTACTCACCAGCGAGACAATTAGAGCGTTCAATACGCCGACTATCGTGGCTGCCGCGAGCTGATGAAAAAACTGCGTGACCATGACGACCTCGTAAACGGGGGAGGCATTAGACTCGAAGGGTAGCTCCATCTTGAGAAACAGCTCCCGCGCCGGCACCGCAAGCTGTACATCGTCGGCCTCGTCGTCGATCTCGTCGCCCACGCCGACGAGCACGCCGGTGCCGTAGAGAAACACCGACATCGAGTAGAGACCGATGATCAGGTTGGAGGAACGATGCGAGACGTAAATCGTCCTCGACATCGAGCAGGCGGCCCAGTCGGTCGCGCACTCGCTTCGATCGCGAGCCATAATCGTCAGAATATCGTGGAATATTCTACAAGAAATTGTGCTATCAGAGACAAAAATAAGGATGACGAATACTTTCTGTGTCGTAGTGAAACTGGTATTTTTAATTCTCTTTAACTCTCGTGTAAAAAAATAAAATAATCCTCTATTTTCACGATGCTTGACATATGTTAAACTGCTCTACGATGCACGTGTTAAATATGTGTATGCCATATATAATTGATCGTTATATAATTATATTATTTTTTATTTTATCTTATTTTTTTTTAAATTTGTGCATTGTTCTCGCGAAACGGGAGCTCACCGTCGATTGATCCAGAATATCGTAAGTTTCAGAAGCAGCAGACTGTAGGACATCGTGGTGCTCAGACCGTCCATGAGATGCGACAGATCTTCGGTGCGGACGTGTACGACGAAATAGCGATATTGAAAGGTCTGCGCTATCGTCAGGGTGATCATCCAGAAGGCGCGACGAAGGAAGGCGTAAGACGAGTCGGGCCAAACGCCGATCACGCGGAGACCGATCTCGATCGAGCGACTGACAGTGCCGTCGAGGATGGTCGAATCGATCTTCGAGTCCATTTTCAGAGTTCTGCCTTCGAATAGAAACGCTTCCGACCGGAATGTCCCTTTACATCGATATCGCCGCGAAACTTCGAAACTTCGTCGAGAAGCCGACCGTGTATCCCGTGCGGCGATATCGAACACATGGATGAACACGCGAGATGAAAGCGAGTGAATACGAGAAGGTCGCTGCGCGTACCGATCCCCCACCTTCATCGCGAGCCAATAGAAAATATCCACAAGATATTTCCAACAAAGTAAAATTGCTGGACAAGCTTGCAACAATTAGGTAAGATAAGTGCGGGTATAGATAATGAAGAAGAAAAAAAAACGAGAGGGAGGAGAACGCACGATTCCTAGGATCACCCTGAATCTTAAAAATTCAAAAGCCACGTGTGAGCCATTCGGGAAGATTGTGCGAGATAATGATTGGATAGATTGAGACGCTTTAAAACGGTAAAATGTAAAGAAAATGAGCCGCTAGTCTCCCCCAATGACGGGGAAAATTAAATTGATACGTCTAGATCGTCGATACGACGAGAGATAATTATTTGCAGCGGGTATACATATGTCACTCAGCGTGAGTCACGGAAAAGGCAAGACAACGACGTACGTATAAATTCAATTTTACATAAATTTATAATATATTTGTTTTCTTCTTATAAATATAAAAAAATATATATATAAGAATTAAAAATTGCTTGGTGAAACTCGGATTCTACTAACGTCATCGATAGTACTAAGTAAGTTGAAGTATAGAATACACATATGTTTGAAAGTATCTTTCGAACGTCGAGATAAATCGAGATATTTTCTTCGAAACAATTATATTATATCGTATATATTTGTCGAAAGAATTAATTATTTTATTTTTTAATTTATTTCTCTACATCTTCTTATATAAACTTTATTTTTTATATATATATATATATATATAAGTATAGAAGAGAACAACTCCCAAGCTTTTCAGGCAAGCTACATATGATGCTACACTTGTTACTGTCCAATACGTCAGTAACCACGATGGATGCGCTTGGCACAAGTAATTGTTATCCGCTGGTCTCTCGTTTAATACATCGCGTGCAGTACTGACATATACGAAGCGGACGCTTTCATCACCTGGTCAAAATAAAACGATAAATTTCATTCGTGTAACAAACCGCGTGGGTGTTTTATATTTTTCCACCTCGTCTTAACAGACATTAAAAAGTTCGACGTTCTATCTTGTTCTAGCATACATTCACGAGGGGAAGAATTCTTACGGTCGTAAATCCTTCCAGAGAGAGATCCATAATGTTTCCGGCGGTGATGGTCAATCTTTTCTGCGATCTTAATATCACAAATAATAGAATTCGACATTCGGCGGGTGTCAGGTTATACCAGAGCGACTCGTACACTGCATCGCCAATCGATTTGCTCTGAAAAAAAAATAGAGAAGAATGAGAGATAGAAATTTATCGATTTTATCTGAATTCGATTTTGAATGCAATAGTGGTTTGAAAGATCCAAGATATTTGAGAAGCGCCAGAAAAATTGAAAAAGAACTGTAAGACGTATTGAATTGGCCAAGTTCGGTCATGAAAGAATAAAATATAACATTGCATATGTAAAATAAAATATTGTGCGCGAACCTTGGCGCTGAGATATTCTCCGACGAAGCAAAAGATGAAGGCTTCCAACGTTATGGCGAAATAAAAGATAGCGGATTTCAGCAGCACCACGGTGGCTCGGTCCTTGGCGAGGGACTTTGGTGAGAGGATTGGAAGAAAGAGGTCAGAAAAACATACGAAAAAATTTAGTGTAAAGTTAAATATAATAAATCTTGATCGATTAATTAAACGACTTACGCTTATAAACGTGAAGCCGATGCAACAAATAACCACGGTATTCGACAGAAACTGCATCAACGCGATGTTGGAATAAAGCTCCTCGATATTATCCGAGAACATTATTATTCTTTGATGCCGAGTAATCAGAAGTCTGATACTCGCGACGATTGAATCGTGCTGCGAATCTTGGTCATAGCAAATCGCCAACAACTCTCGACGAAGGATATCGATCTGTCCACTCACGTGAAGTACCTAAATGCAATTATCAATATAAATTTGTAGAAGATGGGAAGTTGCAAATCATTATTAACAAAAATCCAAAAATATTCAAATGTAAGAGATATATAGAATTAGAAAGGGACAAAGATCAATTTCAATTAATATTCGCGGAAGAACACCCTTTAGACTTATTGTCTTTATATTTCAAGCAAAAGATAAAATCGATGGATCTCGGAGAATGACGTATCGTCTATTTTTCATCGGTGAAACTCACCAGCGTGATGATTAAGCAGTTTATCATAGCGACTAAAGCGGAGATCGACACTACGTGAAGGAACTGAGCGATCGCTAGAAACTCGAAGAGGGGCGAGGCATTAGTCTCGAAAGGAAACTGCATCTTTAGAGGTAGTACTCTCAAACTGTCGTTGAGATTCTCCTCAAGGTTTGCCGAGTGTCGCGCAAAACTGGGCACGGTGTAACAAATCGCGGCGGTAGTATTGATGCTGATCAACATGTTTGAGTAGCGACGCGATAGATTGGCATTGCTCGACATGATACGCAACACAGATTGGTCGCGATCAAGAACGTTACTCCAATCCTCGTCCATCGCTAGCAGGATATCGTAAAATAACCTATAGAAAATTGTTCGCGTATTTTGCATAAAAAATAGAGAGAGAGAGAGAGAAAAACTGTTGTCTTTAATTGTTCAAAGAATTTCTCCCTACCTGCGATGCAACCAGAGAGTGATCAACTTGAGAAAACCGAGGTTGCAAGCCAACGCGATGCTGAGCGCGTCGATGAGATTCGAGATGTCGTCGATGTCGAAATGATCGAAAATATACGCGTACTCAAAGTACATCATGATCACCAGGCTCGTCATGTACGCGAACCAAGTGAAGGTTCCGTACGGCAAGCCCGGCCAGATCCCAACAAAGCGGAGACCGAACTCGACGGAAGTGCTGATGGAAGTCGCGCGCATTATCTCGCATAGAATCGGAACGTTTCTCGACGTCGGGAGGTTGAGCGATTACCGGGTGAGCGACGCTACTCGGAAATTAAGCATGAGTCTTGGACTATAACTCCGGGGATCGCACTAAACTACGCGAGGCGATGATATGTCGACTATGCGTTATCGGTCATTATCGATCAGTCGCAATTATGCGCCTATTCTCCTGCCGTTCAATGGCAAAAAAGTGTACGTTACATTTGCTCGATGATTACGGATTATTACAAGAAAAAAAAGATAATTCGAAGAGACATAATATATTGAAAACGAAGGGAAAGGGAACATGAATTATTCACTTAGAAAATGTGAAGTTTGTTATGAGACACCGCGCATACGCAATAGTAAATGCAGCTATCGAAAGACTTGAAAAGTACGAGGGTAAAGAAAAGGGAGTGCTGTGAAAAAGAATTGTGAAAGTTTCGTGAAAAGATCTATATAAGTGCAATGTAACTTATTGTTAGAATTATACACATCATAATTTTACTTGTTATTTAAATAAAAATATAAATTATATTTGTCGTTAATTAAACGTTTCGCTGTTATATATTTTAATGCACAAAAGATTATATAACACGCTAACATACGTTATAAAAGAATTGATTAATTTATAGTTACATCGAAAAATAATATAATTTAAAAGAAAATCGCATTTTTGAATAGAATGTAATTTTCCCTTAAATAATTCATTAATATAACACACGTTTTTAACATTACGTTGCGCAGAATAAGCGCATATGTATTGCGTTAAATTGGGTTTTATCGTAATAATTGATATATCATATTTTAGGAAATAATCTTTGACGCGCGATTTTCCACTTCTTTTTACCATCAATTTTATAAAACAAATAAACAACAATTCTTCTACGAGTAATTCATTGCATACAACGCCGATATATACAAAGCACAGAAGCTTTCATGACCTGTATTTAGAGAGTGTGTGAATTGCTATTATAAATCGTGCTATTATAATATCATGTGAATATCGTGTGTATAGTTATACGAAGGCCACAAAATGATTTGCATCGTAAACTGTTTACACAGTCAACTCCATGGAGTTTGTTTGAAACATGTTTATCCATGAGCAGCATTTTGTATGTGTAAAAATGAATCTTACGCTGGTGAATCAGAGAAAGATCCATCATCTTCCCGGCGTGATCTCGTCAATCTCTTTTGCGATCTCACGATCGAGAATAAAAGAGCTCGACGCTGGCTGGGTGTCATATTGTATCAAACAGACTCATAAACGATGTTTGCGAGATCACTTTACTCTGGAAAACAATCATCCGAATCCAATGAATCTGTATTCGTATAAGAGCGACTCTTTTTCCCGAGAAGTTTAATCCAAACAAATAAATTTATAATAGCACGATTATCTTAAGATTAAATAGGATAGTTTTATTGTTTGTTAATGCAACAATTTATTTAAAAAATAAGAAAGATTGTGTGGTAGATATAAAATGTTTGAAGAAAAATTCTTTGCATTGAGATACTCTCCGTTGAAGCAGAGACAAATGCTTTCAGAATAATCGCGACGTAAAATAAAATGGATTTCATTAATATTACTCTTCGTTGATTATTACTAATGATCTGCAAGAGCAGACAATATAAGTTCGTTATGCGATAGCGAAGCAAAATTTGCGTTATTAACATCTTAGAAAAATATCAATTTTTAAGAAATGTTAGTGACAATTTCTACTTATTCGAATTGTAGTAATCACGAGTTTTACTCACGACGAGATGATCATAAATCCTAGGCAGTGGATGACCAAGGTGTTAGAACTGCATAAGAGCAATCCAGGAGAAGAGATCCTCGATATTGTTAGACGGCGCGACAATATTCTTTAATGCTTCAAGATGAAGATTTTAATCTCCGGTGGAAGTAAGGAACTCTGATAGCTTTCCGGTCGAATATTTCTGTCCAATCTTGCCGCACTGTATAAATCCAATCATACTCACGTAAAGAATCTATGGATAGTTGAGTTAAAATGATTCATCTTTACTGCGTACAAAATCTTATAAAATTATCATAAATATAATAGCAAAGCGCCGACTGATACTTATCAGTGTAACAAAGGAATTAATCATTACCGAAAAGATTAGAGAGCAGAGAGATAATTCGTGGAGAAATTGGGCTGCCGTAATCTCGAACATGGGGGACTCATTAACCTCGAAAGGGAATTCCATTTGGACGCGAAGATCGAATTCGGTCCCGTAGGGGTTATCCTCGTCCTTCGCGGGACACCGAACGAGGCCTTCGAGGGCATACAAGATAACAATCGAGGCGTTGATGGACATTAAAATGTTGGAGCGTCGACGCGATAGATTGGCATTGATTATCATCGGGTACATGCGCGAGCTACAGCAGCCATATATTCTCTCCAATCGTTGCTAGAATCTTGTAAAACATTCTATGCAAGATGATACGAGAGTGGAAACGACGCGGAAATATTGTATAAAAGATATCTGAAAGACGTCCGGGAAAAGGCGCATCTTGCAAAAATGTTTTTACGATATCTTTTACATTTTGTACGTATTGTGTTTCGAACAGAGCTCTTATAAACACATCTTCGGATTCGAAATGTAAAGAGATACGTGTAATACTGCAGAAAATGTATCTCACAGCGCGAAAGTAAACAGCTTTGTTCCAGCGCATTCTAAGATACCGAAGATTAAAAGCGGATCTATGGAAACAAATATTGAAATCATATTCTCTCTTTCTTTTATATTAATTTAATAAGTAATATATGAATACAAGAATAATCAAAACAAAATATAATAACATTTTATCGTTATTATCAAATCGAAATTATGCCGAATATTTTGAACGCCCATTAAATCGTTTTTTGTTGATCAACAGACGTACTTACCAAAGATTCATCAATTTGAAAAACATTTAACTGTACATGAGATTGTACTCGATGCATCTATAAGCATTTAAAAATCGTTCACATCATAGTTTTTGAAAATATGTTATGGAAGTATACAGTCACAACATGTATGGTAAATCGGAAGCTCGATCTCGATCGACAAACTTATACGCTTTATAGTCATTTCGCGTTTATAGTGATCCTTGGAGCGAGACGATTTGCTTCGCAAAGTGGCTTATTATCCAGTGAGCGATGTATATTATTATGCGAAATTCATATCGATTGATCCAATGTCGTCGCACATGATGACGACAAGAGAACTGACCGATTGCATGAGGGAATGACAAAGTTAGACGACAGTTATCGATCAATCATAATTGCACGTTAAAGCACCGGCTGTTTAAAGATTGGGGACAAGAACGATCAACAGACTATTCTCAGTTCTCATATTGCGCGGTAACGAATAATTTTCTTTTAAAATGCAGATCCTTCTCCGAGCGTACGCTCGTTCGTATATAATGGTCGTATTACCTGTAATATCATCGAGAAAAAGCGATTGAAGCGGAGAAAGAAATAAAAAGCTTGAGATGAAGCAAAAATAAAGAAAAGAAACATAGGCCGGCAAGAATTTAATGTCAGAAATAAAAGCGTGTATATCGCTTTTCTTTTCGAGTAATATTACGTTTCATTGTACAGTAAAAAGTGCAGTAACTAATTATTAATTTAATATTAAATATAATAATTTTTTTGCATATTAAAATAAGTTCAATAAATAAATCAGCTTTGTGATAACGGATTCTTTAATAAGGATTTTTCCGGATTAATATTCAATTATATTATGATCTCAATGATAGTAGTCAGTTTCATTTTGTATAAAAAAGGAATTTAACAGATTATGTAATATAAGATTTTTATATAATAGATTTCTATATAATAATAACATAAATGATTAAAATTGAGATTAGATATTCAATTCGCTTAAAATAATACATCGAAATTAACTAACCATTCTCGCTTGACATAGTGTATTCCCACTCTAATGACGATCGATCGTAATTATCTGCTCTACGTAATCTAACAGCAATTCGAGATAGCTTATTATCTATCTGGATGTCCCGCAACTGCATCAAAATGATATACCTGGTCATAAACCAGAACGGAGTTCATATCATACGACGAATGATAATAGTCGATTGATAATAGTTTTTTTCTCAAGCAAGCCCCTTTAAAAAATCAAATCTATGAACAGAAAACATAAATTTATTTCATTATTTTATAATATTATTTATGGTATATATTCTCTCTTCC